GCGCAATCAGGCTGCCCTCGACCCCAAAGAGATCCCCCTGCCTCTGCCTGCCGAGTGCTGGGATTAAGAGAGGCCGCACCCAGGTTTTCTCTTTTTAAAAGCTTTATTATTAAGTCAGGCATGGTGGTGCAAGCCTTTAATCCCAGCGCTTGGGAGGTAGAGGCAGGCGGATCTCTGTGAGTTCAAGGCCAACCTGGTCTACATAGTGAGTTCCAGGCCAGCTGGGACTACAGGGAGACCCTGTCTCAAAAAGACCAAAAACAAACAAACAAAAAAACAAGAAAAAAAGCTTTATTAGTGGTGTGTGTGTGTGTGTGTGTGTGTGTGTGTGTGTGTGTGTATATGTGTGTGTGTGTACTGTGTTTGTGTATGTGTCCTGGATAACCCTTTTAAGTTGACATCTTCTCCTTTTGAAATTCCCATCTTACTATAAGACAGCCTTCTTCTCAGATAAAGATTATTTCTCTCTTTCAATTTGTTAAATGGTGGTCACTATATGTGATCAGATTGTTTATTTGTGATAAATAAAAATCAAGCTCTTTTGAATTAAATTGTTGAGAAAGAATATATGGCTTTGGCCTTAGGGTGACCCTCCAATGTCTGCCTCTTGAGTGATGGGATTTATAGACCTGTGTCAACGTGCCTACCTAAAATAAATAAGTAACATTAGTGGGCTCCATTTTTATTTTTTTTATTTTTATTTTTTTGGTCTTTTTGAGACAGGGTCTCCCTGTAGCCCCAGCTGACCTGGAACTCTATGTATGCCTTGGCTGGCCTCGAACTCACAGAGATCCACCTTCCTCTGCCTCCCAAGTGCTGGGATTAAAGGCGTGCGCCACCACGCCTGGCTTATTTTTTTGCTTTTAAGACAAGGTCTCATGTAGCCCAGGATGACCTCAAACTTGCTATGTAGCAGAGGATGGCCTTGAACTTACTGTTCTTTTGTCCCTACCTCTGGAATACTGGAATTACAGGTTTGCAACACCAGGTCTGGTTCACAGGGTCCTAGGGATCAAACCTAGGCTTTGTGTATGCCAGGCAAGTGCGCAACCCACTGAGCTATAGTCTCAGCCCCATTCTGTTTTATTTTGTTGTTGTTGCTGTTTTCCCTACCACTGAGCTACATCCCCAGCCCTGATTTGGAATTCTTTTTTATTTATCTTTTTTTTTTTTTTTGGTCTTTTTGAAGCAGGGTCTCCCTGTAGCCCCAGCTGTCCTGTAACTCACTATGTAGACCAGGCTGGCCTTGAACTCAGAGATCCGCCTGCCTCTGCCTCCCAAGTGCTGGGACTACAGGCATGCGTCACCACGCCCTGCTTCATTTATCATTTTTATCTTATGTGTGTTGAGTGTGTTGCCTGCATGTATGTAAGTGCATCCATCAGATGACTCATTGGTTAACAGCACTGGCTGGTCTTGTAAAGGACTCAGGCTCAGTTCCCAACACCCACATTGCAACTAACAACCATCTGTAACTCCAGTTCCTGGGAATCTGACTCTCTCTTTTGGCCTCCATGGGCATTGCACATGCCTATAATACAGGCAGGCAAAACACTCATACACATTAAAAAAAGGAGGAAGATGGGGTGTCAAGCATGTTGCCTAGGTTCCGTCCTCTTCCAGAGCATAGGCAGACATACGCACACTGCTGTGCCCCAGAGGTGGGGCTGGCTCATTTTGAGGGGGTGTGAAACACTATGAGTTTCTGGAGAGTTAATTGGGTCCCAGAATCTTGCTTCCCTGATGAGCACAGCTCTTGATTCAGGTGCGGTCGTCTTCTCTCTTGGGTCCCTGGGGAGGTACTTGGTCCCACTGCTCGTTGCGTCTTGTGTGACTTGCCACAGCCTGCTTCCCATGCCAATGCCTTCTGACTTGTCTGGTCCATCCCCTCAGTGGCCGCATGTCCACCCAAACGAAGAACATCGTGAGCGGCGTCCTGTTCGGCACGGGCCTTTGGGTGGCCGTGATTGTTGCTATGAGATACTCCCTGAAGGTGCTGCTGTCCTACCATGGCTGGATGTTTGCAGAGCATGGCAAAATGAGCCGTAGCACCCGGATCTGGATGGTAACTGCCTGTCACTCGCCTGGGGACCCACTGTGGTGATGTCACTTCTCAGAGCAGGATCCTTGTTAGATCTTTTCTCCTTTCCCTTTTGGTGTGTGAGGTTCTGTGATGACTCCCCCTGACACACACACATACACACACACACACACAGAGCCAAGGTCAGGTTTTGTCAGTGGCACCTGGGAGCTCTGCCTGCTCTCTGTTCACCTCTGCTCAACCTGTAATTCAGGCTGGTTGTGGGACCTAAGTGCCACCTCTTAGGTTTTCGTGGCCTTCAGGCCACTTTGTAGTCACTCAGTAATTTCCTTATCTGACTGGGATAGCCCAACTGTATGATTCACTCCTTGTTAAAATATTTTATTTTCATTTTATATGTATGCGTGTATTGCCTGCATGTACGTAAGTGCACCCGTGTCGTGCAATGCCCTCGGAGGTCAGAAGAGGCTGTCGGGTCCCCTGGAACTGGAGTTACGGACAGTTGTTAGCTGTCATGTGGGTGCTGAGATTCGAACCCAGCCTTCTGTGGGAACAACCAGTGTTCTTAACCACTGAACCATCTCTCCAGCCCCAATTCACTCCCTTTTAAAAAAACAAAACAAAACTCATTTATGCTGGGCATGGGTGCACATTTTTAACCCAAGCACTTGGGAGTGGAAGCAGGTAGATCTCTGTGAGGCCAGCCTGGTCCCCTGGAACTGGAGCTAACTGGTTAGTAGCCACCATTTGGGCACTGGGAACTGAACCCAGGTCCTCTGCAAGAGCAACCAGTGCTCTTAACCACTGAGCCGTCTCTCATGGCCCAGTGATTCCTTTCCTTTTACCTTCCACCACGTTTCCCAATTCACTGTGGCTCTAAGGCCAAGGCTCCTGTGCTGTGCATTTAAGGGTTGTCCAGTTTTAGCTAGTTGGATTTCTTAATGTATGTTTATTGCTTTGTTTTTTTGAGGCAAAGTGTCATATATACCTTCTATACTTCACTATGTAGCCAAGGGTGACCTTGAGTTTCTGACATTGCTTCCTCTACCTCTGGCATATACCACCAAGACTGGTTTTTGTTGTTATTGTTTGTTTGGTTTTTGTTTTGTTTTTATGGCCCCAGCTGTCCTGGAACTCACTATGTTGACCAGGCTAGCCTTGAACTCACAGAGATCTACCCGCCTCTGCCCCCTGAGTGCTGGGATTAAAGGCATGTGCCACCATCCTGACTTGTTTTATGGGATGGGGTTCAAACCCAGGGCTTCGTGCGTACCAGATGGGTGCTCCACTGAGTCACATCTGAAATCCTGACTAATCATTTTATGAGCTCAGTTTTCTGGGGAGGAAGAAAAGATGCCCAAGGTGGGGCTCACTTTTGGCCCTCAGCCATGCAGAGGGCTCTCTGGCCTCACGTGCACCTGTAACTTCTGGTATCAGGTGCTGTTTTTTGTAAAGAAACAGTAACTTTGTGCACCTAAGCTTTGTAAATGATTTTAACAAATCTGGTCATGGTGAAAAACTGTCTTTCAAATTGCTTGTCTCTGGGGCTCCTTCTCTGTTCTGGTAGTGTCTCTGAGGGGACAGGGTCGGCCTGGCCTCGCTTGTGAGCACCTGCAGGCCAGCCCCCCGTGATCTGCTCACTTACCATGTGGGTCCCAGCTGTGGACTGGGGCTGCTGCCTTGGACCTCCATGGGGTCAGCTTGGTGCCCACCACACACCCCAGGCCCACTCTCTCCCAGACCAATTCCCTTGTCTATGAGTTTTCTGATGCCTAGAGAAGAATTTATTACTTAAATGAGACAGAGATGGTTCTCCACACAGTTAAACCACATCCCCTAGGATGGTTTTCGAAGCTTATGTTGAGCTAAGTCCCAGCACCCTTGAGCACCAGGAGTCACCACTGCCCATACCCTGAGCCCTAGAGATGCCCTGGTTTGAGTCAGCCCATGTAGAAGCCCTGAGAAGTGACTTGCTCTCCATGTTGGTCCACCTGATGAGAGAGACCACATTGCTGCCCCTGGGAGTAGCTCAAGGACCAGGCACCTCAGCTGGCCCCAGTGCCTGTACCCAGTCCATACCAGCCCCAAACCAAGGATCTAGCAGGAGGAGGCAGTAGCTACCCCAGGTATGGAAGCATTGTCAGACCCAAGGTTCCCAGCCAGGGAAACACCCCTCAAAGCCTCTGTCACTGCGGCCTGTGTTGGTTTGTCATGGCCTGTAGTTATGGGACAGGGGACAGCCCCTCCATGAACCACCAGCAGGTCCCGTGCAAGTGAGCCCTGGCTTTGGTTCTTTAAGGTCATAGCCTCGTCTTTGAAAATGTGCCTTTTTCCCCAGGCCATGGTCAAAGTCTTCTCAGGCCGGAAGCCCATGCTGTACAGTTTCCAGACCAGTCTGCCTCGTCTGCCGGTCCCAGCTGTCAAAGATACCGTGAGCAGGGTAGGTAATTCAGCCTCGAGCTCTGAGGCATCCTTTGGGTCAAGACTCATGTCTAATGGTGACTGTAAATTACAGCCCTTGGTGCTCTGTCAGCATGTACCTCCAAGGTGATTATGATAGTGTTTTTCCTCCCAGGATTTTGCACTGGCTAGACAAGTTGTTACCATTGCACTACATCCTCATTTTTGACCCAAGATCTTGCTAGGTAACTGTTCTAGTTTGCTTTCAATGGCTGTGACAAAATACTCTTAACCAATACCAATAAGGGTTCATTTGGCTTACATCTCCCAGGTCACAGTCCATCACCGAGGGAGCCCAAGGTAGGAACTCAGGGCAGGAACCTGGAGGCAGGAGCTGAAGCACAGGCCATGGAGGAACGCTGCTTACTGACTTGCTCCCCTGGCCCCTGCTCAGCCTGTTTTCTTTTTTTCTTTCTTTCTTTTTTTTTTTTTTTGCTTTTTTGGTCTTTTTGAGACAGGGTCTCCCTGTAGCCCCAGCTGGCCTGGTACTCACTATGTAGACCAAGCTGGCCTCAATCCCATAGAGATCTGCCTGTCTCTAACTCCCAAGTACTGGGATTAAAGGCGTGCACCACCATGCCCAGCTACACAGTTTTTTAAAAAAAAAAAAAAAGAAAAAGAAAAAAACGTCTGTATAGCCAGGCGTGGTGATGCCTGTCTGTCATCCTAGCATTTGGGGAGAGTGAAGACAGAAGGATCAGGAGTTCAGGGCCAGCCTCAGCTACATAGTGAGCTGGAGGTCAGCCTGGGCTATGTGAAACCCTGTCCCCTCCAGAAAGAAAGAAAAAGTTGCATTTGAGATTCTCTGTGTGCTTTATATCTGGAACTTATTCAAGGCGTGTACCTGTCAGTGGGTGTCTGCGCTCAGCATCTAGACCAGGAGCCCTGGCCTCAGCCTGTCGACTGCTCATCCTGCTGCCTGAGCACCTGCCTGACCCTCAACTGGGCTAGCAGTGCTGTCCCACACACCTCATGACCCCATCCCGGGTCATCATTAAAGTAATGGCCAAACAATGGATGAGGCCCCTCTTAATCTCCTTGATCAGGAGGTAGTGAACTTGACCCCACAGAGCAGAATTGACTCCAGTAAAGTCACGGTGATGATGGATTTGGAGTACTTTCCAAGTCAGTAATAGACGGGAAGTTGAACTGTTCAGAGGGGTTTGTCTTGTCTGTAGGCAGCACAGACCAAGATCGGAACTCTCCAGTCTTTTCAGCATGGCCTGACTCCTCTGAGACCTGGGGAAGGGTCCCATGGACTCAGGGCAAGGTGTTTAACTCGGTCCATGTTTTCTTGCCCCAGTATCTAGAGTCTGTGAGGCCTCTTATGAAGGAAAATGACTTCCATCGGATGACAGGGCTTGCCCAAGATTTTGCTGTTAACCTAGGACCAAAATTGCAGTGGTATTTGAAGTTGAAATCCTGGTGGGCCACAAATTATGTAAGTATTTATGCACATAGAATGTCTCGGTGTGAAAATTCCCATTCGGGGACCAGGACTCACAAAACTCCAACTGTAGTTGACAGCAGTCACTCAGCCATGAGAACACTGTGTGGACCTGCTGGTGGCTTTCCCATGAGCCTTTGTATATTGCTCAGGGTAAGGGCTGCTCTCCACACAAGCCTCTAGCCTCCAACTGGAAGTTCATTGAGAGCCTTTCCTCCTGTGATGCCCCCAGCCACCTGCCCTGCCCTCTCTGGTGCAGTTTGCTCCTAGCCAGGCGTGGTGGCGCACGCCTTTAATCCCAGCACTGGGAAGGCAGAGGCAGGCGGATCTCTGTGAGTTCAAGGCCAGCCTGATCTACATAGTGAGTTCCAGGACAGCTGGGGCTGCAGGGAGACCCTGTCTCACAAAAACACAAAAAAAAAAAAAAAAAAAAAAAAAAAAAAAGAACAACCTTGGTCAGGGCTTGGATGCTGCTGCTAGTAGCCAGTCTGAGCCCAGAGCTGGCTGAGCCTCTGCATGTGGTATTAGGAAAGGCAAGAGGCGCTGGTGAGGATGTGAGACAAAGAGGGGGTCCATGTTTAAGGAACAACTTGAATGGGAGGGAAGGTATCATAAATAGCATACAGTGAGTCAGACGTGGTGGCTCATACCTGTAATCCCAGCCCTCAGAAGGCAGAGGCAGGAGGGCTGTGGGTTCAAGACTAACTAGGGCTACATAGTAAGACCCTGTCTCCAAAATAGTCTTTTTGTTTTTGAGACATGGTCTCATGTGGCTACCAGACTGGCCTCTAACTTTCTGTCTAACCAACGATAACCTTGAACTTCTGATCCTCCTACCTCTGTGTCCCAAGTTCAGGGAAGACAGACATGCACTACTACACCCAGTTTTATCCAGTTCTGGGAATCAGATCTAGGGCTTCATAGGCATTTTAACAACTGAACCACATCACCAGCCTTACCTTACTTTTTTCTTTTAGCCAGGTGATCCACTGTCTAGCCAGACTTCCACTTAAGACTGAGTTTCCTTCCTGAATCCTGTCTGCTTAGGATAGCTTTGTTTTGGAGTGTGTCCATCATGTGCTGAGTTTTCCAGAAAGGGCCATGTGCCTACAGAGGCAGGTCCCTGGGCAGGCAGCCGCATGGCTCCTGCTGAGCGCCTGCCCTGTCTGTGTTTGCACCACAGGTGAGTGACTGGTGGGAAGAATATATCTACCTGCGGGGCCGAGGGCCGATCATGGTCAACAGCAACTACTACGCCATGGTGAGTTGGGCCTCCATGCCACTGTGGCTGAGGGACAGTGGGATCAGTGTGTCCATCCTGCTTGGGGAACTGGAAAGCTCAGGGGCTCTGCTCCCTTTTCTCAAGCCTTCATGTTCCTGGGAGGAGCCAACAGGGACCAAGTGTGCATCCTCACATGTCTTTGGGGTCCCTTGGGAACTGTGCAAGCACGTTAGAAGCAAACAGGGCTTCCTTGCCTGAGTGCCCGGGGCTGCACCCATCAACAGTTGTCTTTCCATATCTTGGTCTTGCTGTGTCTTTCATCAGTGGTTGGGTGAGGCTCCTCAGTGTGGTTTCTAGCAAGGCTGGTGGTCTCCCTCTGTCTTCTATGGACTCCCGTCCCCTGATCTATTTTTATCTTTAACTTTTTTTTTGTCTTTTTGAGACAGGGTCTCCCTGTAGCCCCAAATGGCCTGGAACTCACTATGTAGACCAGGCTGGCCTTGAACTCACAGAGATCCACCAGCCTGGGCTTCCTGAGGGCTGGGATTAAAGGCATGTGCCACCATGCCCAGCTCTTTTCTCACTCTTTTTGAGACAGGGTCGCTCCTGTAGCCCCAACTGGACTGGAACTCATTAGGTAGAACTAGGTAGACCAGGCTGGCCTTGAACTCAGAGAGATCTGCCTGCCTCTTCCTCCAAAGTGCTGGGACACACCTTTAGATGTGTCCCGTCACATCCAGCTTAAAATTTTTGCAATTTATTTTTTTAATTTTTATTTTTTATTGATTTGTGTGTGTGTGTGTGTATTTCATGCAGAACATTTCAAACAATCATAATCATCTTTATACCCCCATCTCTACTGGCACCCTCCCATAGCCCTCCCCACTGGAGCCCATATACTCTGTCATCCCTGTTACTGCCCACTATGTTGTCAGTGCTCCCAGCTGTTCTCCAGTGCAAATACATCTGCCAAGTCTATTTTTATTTTATGTGTATGAATGTTTTGCCTGCATGTATGAAAGTGTGACCCTTTAGTGCAGTGCCCACAGAAACCAGAAGTGGGCATCAAATCTCATGGAACCAGAGTTATGAACAGTTGTTAGCTGCCATGTGGGTGCTGGGTACTGAATCTCCAGTCTTCTGCAAGAGCAGCCAGTGCTCTTAACTGCTGAGCCACCTCTACAACTCTGTTTCAGCTTATTTAAGTATCTTATTTTATTTATTTATTTATTTTTGGTCTTTTTTTTTTTTTTTTGAGACAGGGTCTCTCTGTAGCCCCAGTTGTCCTGAAACTCGCTATGTAGACCAGGCTGGCCTTGGACTCACAGAAATCCACCTGCCTCTGCCTCCCGAGTGCTGGGATTAAAGGCACGCGCCACCATGCCCGGCTTATTTTTATTTTTTATCTGTATGGGTGTATTGCATGCGTGTGGGTAAGCGCACCCATGTCATGCAGTGCCCACAGAGGTCAAAAGAGGGCGTCCGGAACTGGAGCTACCTACAGACAGTTGTTAGCTGTCATGTGGATGCTGGGAACTGAACTTGGGTCCTCTGTAAGAGCAGCCACTGCTCTTAACCACTAAGCCATTTCTCCAGCCCCTTCAGCTTATTTTTTTATCTTATTTTTTGAGACAGGGTCTCACTCTGTAGCCTAAATTGGTCTTAGACCCAGGATCCTCCAGCCTCAACCTCCTGAGTGCTGTGACATCAAGCGTGAGGTGACCCCTGCCCCTCACCCACATCAGTGACTATTCAGCATTTGGTTGCCTCTCATTCAGAAAACATCTTAATTGTCCAGTTCTTCCTGGGCTTACTTCTCTGTGTTCTTCCTGTGTATTTGAGCCTATTTGGAGGCAAAATATTTTGTTTTGTTTTGCTGAGGCAGGAGCTCACTCTGTAGCCCAGGCTGTCCAGAACTTACTAGACAGAGTGTAATAAGGCTCTGCCACCATGTCCAGCAAAGTACTTCTGTCTTTTAATAGCCCAAGAATAGATGGGCTTTACAAGGCATTGACCAAGTCAGAGCTAGGTGTGGTGGTACATGCCTGTAATCCCAGCACTGGAGAAGTGGAAGTTGGTGCAGCAGTTCAAGGTCAGCCTTGGTTACCGGGAGAGCTCAAGGTCAGCCTGGGACCCTGTCTCAAAAAAACAAATCCCCCCAAAGTAAAGAAAGAAAGAAAAAAGTTTTAGCCTTTAGTCCCAGCCACTCAGGAGGCAGAGGCAGGTGGATCTCTGTGAGTTGAAGGCCAGCCTGGTCTACATAGTGAGTTCCAGGACAGCTGGGGCTACAGGGAGACTCTGTCTGAAAAAGACCAAAACTAAATAAATAAATAATAGAAACAAATCCAAGCCAGGCACAGTGGCACACACTTTTGATGCCAGCACTCGGGAGGCAGATGCAGGCTGATCTCTATGAGATCGAAGCCAGTCTGGTCTACACAGTGAGTTCTAGGCCAGCTGGGGCTACAGGGAGCCCCTGTCTCAAAAAGACAAAACAAAACAAGCAAACAAAAAAAATCCCCCCGAACCAAA